ATTTTATTGAAATAAACTTTACAAAGCCCGATTATAGTCAGTCAACATATGAGGGGTAATATTGACAAAATGAGGAATTTCCACAAGTAAAATATTGGTAAATACATAGGTAAAAATTTTATTTTTTATAAGTTTTTATCTTGTAAAATATTTTTGAAGATAATTAAAACATTTGTTGGTTTTTTATAATCATATACAAAATCGTTATACTTATATTATAACTATCGTTATAATTATATTAATAAAACTCAAGTAGAATCTTTCAATACCTAATAAATACTGAAAAAACTATTTTCAAGCATTACAAATTCATTGTTTCATTATATTCCCTTTAATTGTTATTGGAATGCAGTGTTAAACTTGAAAAAAATATACACAACACTTTTTTTATTTACAGGAGATTCAAGATGAAATATGTTAATGGAACGATCATGCCTGTTTGAGTCCAGTTCATGCCAAGAGATGTTTTGAAGCTCCACCAAATGACCGATAAAACTAATACTTGCAACAACAAATGCAGGACAAGCAATCTAAAAAGAAAAGTCAAATGGTAATCATTTCGGGTCATTGTTTTTCTTGCATTTAAATACATTCAGAAAATTCAAAAAAGAAAAATAATTCGGAATTTAAAAAGAAAATGATTGTATAGCACACAAAATAAACTAGTAAGATAACGCTTACATTTTGTCCTTTTTCAAGGCTTTGTTTAGGTTTCTCAATGGTTCTTTATTTAAATATACTCGTACTCCTTTGGTTAGATCAACGAAATACGTCTCCCAATTGATTTGTTTGATGTCTAAAGTAAATCTTTCTTTGTCCACCTCAGAAAGTGATGAATATAATTCCAGAGTCTTTGGATTATAGAACTTCCACTCAGTAAAAATGAACTTTTCTAGTTTATCTAATGACTTATTTATGTTTGTGTGAAGCCGTACTAGTCTGGAAAAAGATTAATAAAAATGTAATAAATCTGAAAAAGAAATTCCTGAGTGCATCGCATCAACAAGGTCTCACATAGGTCTTCCACCTGCAATACGAGTAACTGTATCTAGAATGTAAGCTGGTATCATGTGCACAAAAAATGCAGATATCTTGAACCAGAAAATTGATGGCACAAACTTTAGATGGGGATACCACACAGCACTGTTCAATGGGTATTTGTGAAGGTAAGAGTTCATTTTGTGTGTAACATCAGCCCATCTAAATGGTGTACACGTACTCGAAGTTAGATGATAAATTTTAGTCGAATCTAGTCTAAAAAAAATGTGCCCAGTTAACGGAATTATTCTACAAAATACTCCACTAAATTTACTACAATATTCTTTTAATTGATAAATTAGTTTTGTCACTCATATTATTCCATGTATATTATTTGGTATTTTAATTTAATTAAAGCAAGTGATAATAACACAAAAAGACTTACCTATCTCTATCAATGGCATATGCAGCTACGATGAGGCTGTTCACTACGATATCAACCGGGATATAATCGTAGATAAGATCCTTGGCAACAGGCAAACGTCGAACCACACCTTTACTGGCTCCCATCAAAAATCCTTGAGGTCCATTTTTGGAGATGGTCCATCCAGGAATTGGCTCTTTCCATGCACCCACAACTGAAAAACGAGGTTACTATAGTAATTGCAAGTAACTGTATTTGATACCTCCATTAACTACGTGTCATTATTATTATTACTTAAAAAATTGATGCTAGAACAAAAAATCATCGTGGATATATGTAATATTCTAGCCAAATGATTAGGAAAAAGCTTACTCATTGATGGTCGAACAATTGCTGATGGTAGATTTGAATCCGCCACTTCATGCTCTGCAAATTGTTTAGTGAAAGTATAAGAGTTAGGATGATCTTTGATGATACTTGATGTGGCTGCATCAAGTTCATTGTCATCTAGCTCTGCAACTTTTTTTAAAAGCTCTTTAACATCCATGGGAGCAGGATAGATGCGCTCATGAGCCTCGGAAAGATTGGAGTTCACGTAAGCACTCGAGACGTGAATGAGTGCCTGAAAAGGATAATGAATAATACAATTAAAAAACAAAAAAAGAACTTTAGCATGAGAAATGAAATTTACGATCACACATTTTTAAGTCATTCATCTTGCGTTTTGTAACACTAGACATTCATTATAGACAGCTACGCAAGCATTGATTACGACTCACATATAGTACAGCACTAGCCAAGAGCTCTATTATTGTAATAATAGTCAAAACACCATAAATGGAAAGGAAGACAATACAGTAACTCACTCACCTTGAGATTCTTAATTTCCTTGCTCAACTCTACAACATTCCTAGTACCAAGCAGGTTGATTTTGACGTTACTCCTGAGGTCTGCTTCAAAATCTAATGTTGCCGCCGAATGATAAACAATATGAACTTTTTCTATTATCGTCTGCCTATCTGCGGAGGACAACCCCAACTTGTCCTCTCCGATATCTCCACCAACTGCAACTAGTTTTTTGAAAAGCCCAGTGTTGCCATCTTCTTTGATCTTATCGAATACCTGATATTATTGAATTTCCATGATAATAATAATATTGACAAAGAATAATGATCGACAAACAAATGGATTGTAAAATTAAAAAAATGTTAAAGTGCTCAAATCAAAATATCTACAACAGTACTTGCTCAAAATAAAAAAATGAAAGTATTAAGTAACCATGGAGAAAGTAGCCTCAGTCAACAGCTTGAAATCACAGCACCCGCTTTACTTGCTAATAGCTTCTTGTAAGCATGATTTTAGATTCATAAATATCAAGCTAAATTTTAAATGCAGAGTTCAATGTATTAAGATACAGATGAAAGTAAACAATTTGTATTTATGAAACTGCTGGTAAAAAATTCAAATTTCAAAAATTGCATATTTTATTTATCAACTGTTCTGTAAAATAATGCAGCAATTGATAAATTTCACTGAAATCCATTAAATTTACACATTTAAAATACTAAACTTAAAAAAAAAAATACTCCTTAGCATAAGAACAAACTACCCAAAACTTCTGATCAAAAAACTGCTCTCACAAAAAACATTTAACGTCAATTATACTTAAGAACTGGTAAAAAAAAAAAAAGTTCAAAACAAACAAGTATAGAACGTAAGTAAACACAATAGCTCAGAGAGGTGTGAAAAAAAATGAAGGTTGTGTATGATTGGCAGCAAATAAAAATTGTACACACGTGTGACCCGTAAGCTGATGACGACACATAAAAAAGCATAACGAGAAGAGAAAAAGAAAAAAGTGATCACGTGCACTAGCAAAGCCTAATTGAGTATGGGTACTTACGCAGGTAAAACTATAAAAAAAAACTTACCGAATTCTTGGTGATCTCCTCGAGCCTGTCCTCAGCACTCTTGCCTTTTTTGGGCCTGATCAGCAGGTAGATGTTCTCGAGGTCGGGACAACAGCGCAGCAGCTTCTCGACAAGGCTGACGCCCAGGAAGCCGGTGCCACCTGTCACGAATACCCTCTTGTCGCGGAAGAAATCTGCCACCTGCGACGATGCCATGTTTGCCTACACACGACCTCCTCGACTTTTAAAATTCACTTCTGGTTTGTACACTGAGTATTCGACTGAGAATGATAATTGTATACACCTGTAATGTGCTCTAATCAACAGTTCTTACAGCGAACGAGAGAGAAAAAAAAAGGAAAAAAAAAAAAAAAAAGAATAACGGAAGGTTGAATACGCGGCACTTGCGGGGATAGAGATGTAAACAACGCAAATGTGAGGAATATGTTATACGCCGGTTGCTAGCAGAAGCCGACTGATGCTGCAGAGAAATACACAAGAGCAGACGAGACTGCAATACGCCGATGGAGTGAGTGAGGGGAAGAGTGGGGTGAACCGGACTCGTAACTTCAAAACGCGCTCCGCGCCGCAATCTAAATAACTGACTTATTGTTGTTCCTCTAATCAAATATATGTATTTACACTCATGACTCACTATTATTATTTAATAAAAGCATATTATTCCACACTAACAAAAGAAAACACAAGTCTGCTTAGATGTTTTTTCCGCTTACTTTTTGGCCTTTGCATACGTATGTACATGTAATTATGTGTACATATATATGCACATGTAACTAAATCTTTTGTTGCTGCTTGCTGTGCAAATTTTTTTTTTTTTTTTTTGTTAAATAATAATGTATCACGTAAATGAATGAGTGATGGTTTTAAAAACTTTTTTGTAGTAAATACGTATTCAACGTAGTGTGTTATATACACATGCGTCATTTCACAAAAACTGCGATATTTTTACGCCCTAGTTGAGAGTTTTTTTAATTAAATGTTTAAAATTTTTAAATTGTTTTTTCCAAGTTACATAATGTCGAAACTCTACGATCATTTATTAAAAATCTATGTTTATTTGAATGCGTTGTTTTTTTTAAATCTTACAAGAATTTTACAAGTCTATCATTACCGTAACATTACTTTTTTTGCCATTGCGAACGTTTTTCAAAACTTTGGAGCAACATTTTTTTAGCAGCTTTTTTGTATATTAATCAATATTGATATTTCACTTATTTATTTTTTTCCTACATAACTGTGTATACAATTTCATCATTTGTTTTCAAAATATTTTTCAAGCAAAGTTTTACATTATTTTTATCTTTTTTCTATCATTGGATAAATTATTTGATTTTCATTGCATTGCATCTTATATTTTAAAAAAATTTTTCATTCGTGATTCAGATAATCTTTTGAGTTAAGCTACATTGAATGGCACGTAATACTACCCCATTTAAGATAAAGCGTTTCTAAGTCCTCTTTTAGATAGATTAATACATATATTATATCATACGATATACTCATTTGCTTGATTAGAACATGAAAACTTAAATGTGCAATGGCTTGAAGAAAGACTCAGTGAAAAAAAAAAAAATAATAATAAAAAAATCCATGACTTAAAATAGAAAATAGTTTGGCATTGTATACTTTGTGCAAGGCCTTGTAAATACATCTCATTTTCATGTGCAATGCTACAAGTCACGCATCCATTGGACAGGCAGCTTTTGGATGTATACAATATGGAAATTTTTCGTTACATGCTAGGTATGAGAATATGAAAACACAGTCTGCAAAACTACTCTAATGCATGTATAATTACCAAAAAATGGCTTTTGCAGAAAAATAAAGAATGCAGCACACTGTTATTTTCTTTCTTTGAGGTCAAGCAATTGTAGTTTGGTAATGATCCTTATTTCTTTAAATATATATTTATAAATTTCTAAGTTATTAAATTTGCAACAAACAATTTTTTTGAAAAAAAAACTTTTATATTGTTTTATGGAAGGGATTCTATTTTTTCGTTGTTTTTAATACGTTTTAATTAGAATCGACTTGTATTTCGGTTAAAATAATTTATAAATTAATTCATTATTTTCGTTGAAAATGCTGTTACTTTTTAAATTTTGTAGGAACATTAAGACCAAACAAAATTTTCTTAATATTGTGTAGTAAAAAAGGAAGTTGGTAAAATAAGCATGGATTCCTAATTATTGAATACAGGATTTACCGATGAAAATCGTCATTTTCCCGAATGAACGTAAAATCTGGATGTCTTCTTCATGATGGCAAAAATTATTATATGTATTGAATGGTCAAATAAAAAAATGGGAAAAGTCAACAAAAATATCAAGGTAATGATGAAACTGACGATAAATATGTGAAGATTCAATACAATTATATGCCAGCAAACGCTGTAGTTGTGTGGACAAACAGCTTACTTGATTAAATAAAGAGTTGGCGTCGAAAAGTAAAAAAAAAAAGTAGCACGAGCTATTCATACTTCCTTACTTTTATGATGCTGCATACTCTTTCTGCGAAACGCACATAATGATAATAATAATAATAATAATAATAATAATAATGAAATTATTAATAATAATAAAAGTACTTCTTTTGAAGATACGAATATATTTAGCGTGTTCTGTACATTTTTCGAAAACAGAAACTTGCCATTACTTTCTGCACTGGTTCCATCAAGCCTACACAATTTTTTTAACTTACTCTACAAGGTCATTCTAATTTTGTTCTATTTTCACCTTTATTTATAGTATCATAATATACATTCTTCCTGATGCAATTTTTTTTACATTTTGTTACTTTAGTATTTATTACAAAATTTATACTTTTAATTTACTACTGACGCCCAGGAAGCCGGTGCCACCTGTCACGAATACCCTCTTGTCGCGGAAGAAATCTGCCACCTGCGACGATGCCATGTTTGCCTACACACGACCTCCTCGACTTTTAAAATTCACTTCTGGTTTGTACACTGAGTATTCGACTGAGAATGATAATTGTATACACCTGTAATGTGCTCTAATCAACAGTTCTTACAGCGAACGAGAGAGAAAAAAAAAGGAAAAAAAAAAAAANTTTGAATATTAAAACTATGAAGATAATTCACAAGAAATAAAAATAACCATAGTAAAAAATGGATATTTAAAAACTAAAAAATTGAATCATTAAGCTTTTTTGAATAATTTTTTTCTAGAGCTTTTAGGGTTAAAATTATTTTACATCGTTCAACAAAAAAAATTGTAATACAAACTTTTTTCAAAATCTACAACATTTATCGACTGCCACCCCAGATATCGTTTTAAACATCTATACTATAAAAACTAATTAATTTTTCAAAGTTCTGCAGTATACTGGCTGCAAAAGTGGTCCTGTAATTTTTCGTCTTCGAAATATCATGTTGTGGTAAAAAAAAAACAAACGTATTAACCAAACCTATTGATCCAGACGCCATTGTTGCAAGTTCAACGACGTTATTGATTATTTTATTTAAATTATTAGAAAGTACTTGGAATATGTTTGGACTGAGATTGAAATAATGGAACAGTATAATAATTTATAAAAAATAGTAATTACACCGATGGCGCAAATCTACCAGGGCTAAAAAAATGCCCACGATATAATATGTGTATAGCTGGGCCCGAGGATCCTTTATTATCGTTATCCTAATCGGATGTGCAATTGATGAGAACACACTCGTTTTTCTACCGTGGGCGTAGCAAACGATCAAAAACGCCCAAAGTAGGAAATATAATTATGAAAACGGACGAAAGAAAAAACAGAACCTACAAGGTATACCATTTTAATCATTTAAGTTATGGCATAGCCAAATCCACATGTATCGTATTTTTGTTTGCACTGCATTCGCATCACGAAAAAACTCGATAGTAATGAACATTGAGATTCAAAATAATCCTACACCCTTTGCAGCATTCATACTAAAAAAACCCATAATTTATAACTATATACTTTTTGTAAATGAAAGCGAGCTTAGCCAGGTACACGCTAGTTATTTTTCAATTTCTTTTTCTTCAATATTTCATAAAAGCTCAAAGTAAAATTTTATTCGTTTTAATCCTTTTGAATTTTTTGTCTCCCAACTCGTTTATCTTTCACGGGTGGCAGACAGTGATAATTATGCCGGCAAATTCGAATAGAACAAAAAATTAACAAAAAAATAACCAAACTATTGACCAGTCAAAAATTGTTTTTGCAGACCAATTACAAGTTCTCAAACAAATCTAAAACTCGGCCAAAAAGGAGTACAGATAAGAAAAGAATAATATCCTCTGGCTTGATTACTTGTCGTTGCATACACTTATACATCAAGAGCAGCTTAAGTAAGACGTCAGGTGAAACTCTCGGCGTTGAGCGCACACCTTTTTTCTCTGCGGAGACAAAAATTTTACGCAACTGAGAGAAAGAGAAGGAAAACGACTGTTGATTCTAAACTGGCAGCTGCGGCTAGCGTAATTTGCTGGCTCGCCAGCACCGTTGGGAGATAACTATACAACCACGAGAGTATACATGGAAAGCCATCGTCACTGAACTTTTATGTACGTATGCAGAGAGCCGCTGAGAACTACACTAAGTGCCGATGACTTTTTTTTTTTTTTTTTTTTTTTTTGTCAAATTTGAAGCTTTTACTTGGGACAATCTCAGCATTATTTCGTAATAAATTTTAGACACTTTTCCACCCGGATAAAATGCGTTTCTATATAAGAATAGTGCGTATTATGTTATTTTCTATTGTTATCGATCCTGCGAGAGCCCTCAATTCGTAAAAAGTGCTTCATGTTATTTTTGGAGACATTTATTTAAATGAATAATGTGTAGAGAATTTCGGGTTGCTACACTAGTCAACGATATTACATTGGAAATAGCGACTAAAGTGGAGTTTCGAGTGAACAAGACTTTATGTAAACTGCAGAGAGAAAGTTACTTAAAATGCACAGGAGTGTTTTGGTGTATTTTTATACAAACTACAAAAATACCGATCTTTCTTAACAGAAAGTTTTATGAAGGAAATTTTGTTGAACCAACGGTTTTTTAAATTCTTTTCAACACTTTAAGTCAGTTAAAACATTTTTTTCAATAGTGAAAAAAAATTGATAATCTCTTTCACAAAATAAAAATTTGATTTCACTGCTGCAGGCCTATACATCAGATGACTAACTAAAGAAAAGAAAGCAGTATACCAACAATTTTTTCAAATCGGTTTTATTTCAACAATTTAATTTAAAACTGAATCATTTGAAAATTAAAAAAAAATAATCATCATCTTCTCAGATTATAATAGCAATTAAGGACGAGACATTTTTCTAAATCGTTAGGTGATACATTTTAAAATACAATTTTAAAAATGCTTCGGTATTTTAATTAGCAGTAAATTCACTCATATTGTGTAAGACTATACATTTTCAAAATT